TTATACTATATATATATATATATATATATATATATATATATATATTGACAAGAGTACTCTGATTTCATTAATCAAACTATGCAATAGATTTCAACAGTGCACCTTGCTTCAACATTATACGCCATGTAAACCTCTCACCGTTTGGTATGTATGGTTAGCCCTTGTACTTTTAAGAACAGGACAAAGTGAAGCAGTTGTAAACTTTTGCAATCCCGTCCACCAAGAAACAAGCAATCCCCACCTCACCTTCTCATCTTCCATCGTCACCTTCCTCCCATGTCGATGGATGCCAGGGCTAACACTTTGAAGCAGTGTCCCCATTTCACCTCTTTATGCCTATAATCTCGAAGCCCTAAGTAAAGGGTTATTTTAAGTGCTTCTTGATTAGGAGGTGAAATGTTAAACAATTAAATTTTGTAAATATTTTAATAAATGAAAAATTTATATAAAGGTGAGGACTTGAACAATCAAATTAAAATGAACCTCAAAAATTCACTAGAATTGCTTGTTTCGATGCCCAAAAATCCTCATATCGATCATCTCAACCTCAAGATGTATAGACATTAAAAAAAAATATTTTAAGTTTTGAAAATAGTACGTCTTGTAATGTATTCTTTTATAGACCACCAATTTTCAAGAGTTTCAAGTGTTTATAGATCTGCTTGATCTACACTATTTTGAATATTTAAATTTTATAATGAGAGATGAAACAAGTTTTCAGTACATCACAAAGGTTTTTAGTATTGAATCAACGTCTTTTGACACTATTTGAAGGTGCGCCTCATTTGGTTTAGGGCCTCAGCCTTATACAAACCACACCCCTTAATAAATTTCCCAACTTACAATAGTGAGAACAAGGTCCATTATGCAGTATACCAACCTCAATGTTTATATATATATATATATATATATATATATATATATATAGAGAGAGAGAGAGAGTAGTAAAGTAATAGTACGTACTTAACTTACTTTAACTACTACGTACTAACTAAACTAACTAGTAGTAAGTTAGTTAACGTCTAACTAATTAAAC